ATCTTAACCAGAATGTTTTCGAGGAGTTCTTCGAGATAAATCATGGATCGGTCAGCCATCTGTATCGTCACTCTCGTTTCCTTCAAAGGCTCAGTAGAAAGTAAGTTGTACACAGAAAATGGCATGTGTTCTATGTTATGAGGTTTCTTGATATACTGCTCTCATGAAATTATTCAACTCTAGTTAAGTTGCCAACTTAAATGATGTCCATTTTTGGTGATGCATAACAGCAACAACTCCTATGCTAATCGTCATTTTTTAGACCAAGCGTGAAACATTCAATTCCTAGATGCAGTGGCAGAGGTTTGATCCAGGAAAAGTGTATGGAACAGCTGCTGCAACTTGAAAGACTTAGCAGCCATGTCCTCATAATCAGGTCCTTATCAGAGTTAAACCAACGATAATGCAATTTGTCCCTACTTCTCCCAACTGAATCCCAATGCTTGGAATATTCAACTAGTACACTATAATAAATTAGACTCACAAGAATTTATGTCCGGGAGTGTGAACTTAAGAAGCTATATTAAGAAACTAAGGGTATGAAAGTGCAAAATTTAACGGGTACAAAATTAAATCATCAATAGAAAATACAAAGAAAACATTTAAACTATATTACAATATAAAATTTTTAAGGGTGCGACCGCATGATCTTGAATGAGATCACAAGGTTTGAAAATTGTTTCCAAATGTCCCAATGCAAACCCCAAGAGCCAAAGCTTATCTGAATGAAAGTGTAATACATTATAAGAAGATAAGAAAGTGATGATCAAGTGTGGATTTTGGCAGCCAAAGATGACAAAACATTATGTCTGCAAAACAATTGGAGAATGCAACTTGGGTCCAGGAACTGACCACTCTGATCTTCTGGAAATGGTTTGGTTAGCACCATGGAAATGCATAAAGTACATCCACTACACTTCCTTCCCAATGTTTCAATTTTTTTTCAATTTTTTTAGTGTTATATTAATTAAAAAAGCTCATTAGAAGTGATGTGCATACGCAAAAGCTTTTTATAAAGGTGATATTCACCAAATATTAATTAAATTTAGTTGAAAATGCTCTTGGAATATTTGAAGAATATACCCATTCCTCTCGTTCAAAACTTGGTATTCATGTTACATGGCTTAATTCCATTAAATACTATATTTTTATTTTATAAATTTAATATGAAATAGTATAATTTAAATCTTTATAAATAATTAAAATATGTTGATTTTTTATTCACAGCAACAAAAAACTAAACCATGATTGATAAAAATCCTGACCATGTTATATTAATATTATTTTCAACCATCAATGCAGCATTTAACCAAAATTAAGGTCTTTGGAGATTTTTATTAAAAAAATAATGTCTTTGAAGATTAAGAATTCTTTTTTAAAATTATTTTGGTAACAATTATTAAAGCCCGTGTAGATTGGACTCGATGTTTGAAGGCGGTGCAATTCTCAATGGAATGTCCTTGAATCCCGGCATGATACTCACAACGAACATTGACGTCATACCATTTTGGATATGGAGGCTGCAGAGGTTTCACATAATGTGGGGACTCTTCTCGGGCTTCTAGCAGTGCATCATACAACTCCTTATATGATATTGGGATAGAATCAAAATGAGAGCCACCTTTCGGCTTGGGTTGAACTACAGTTTCAAGTTTTATTTCCCCTGATGTCTGGAGTAGACTATCAAATACCACCGCGTTCTGACTGCATGGCTTCTTTTCATTCTTCTGAATTTCTAAAGTTGCCACTATTTCTTTGACGTTTCCAAACAACTTGTTGATACGAACAATGATTGCGCGTGACTTTTCATACTGGCTAGAATCAGCATGCTCTAAAGTAGTCTCTTGCATATTTGACACCTCAAGGTTGCTTCTGTCGAGCTTTTTCGTAGAAGTCTCACTTCCTTTGGACCAAGCATCTATTTTATCCATTATCCTGAACATCTGCTCTTTTATCTCTCTTATCTCCTTTTGCTCTTCCTCAGCCATGCGATCTCCTTGAAGCCTTCTTAGGATGCCATTTCTCAGTTGTATTATAGCCTGCTTGATAACGAAACTTCTTGTCCATCATGAAAACCTTCTACTCTGATGACCACTCACAAATCGACACCTTTTGATTATGTCATGATCATGCAATGCAGACAATGGGAAAAACCACATAAAAAACAAGTTAGTACAAATATGATAACAAAATGACAAAAGGCAACAATAGCAAAATAAGTAAATTAATAAGATAATGCAAAAATAAAAAATGCGAGTACAAATGCAAAAATTAATAAGTAAATTTAACTGTCAAAACCACTTAAAGTTTTAAATTTACTATTCAAAAGTTCAACTTTGAGCCCACTTCTTTAGCTCTCTCCATTGTCTAGACTAATGGTATTTACCTGAGCCCAAAATATTCGTTGGGTAATTACGTATTAGTCACTTAAATGTCATTTTAGTTCTGTTTTTGTCACCTAACTATTTTTTTCAAAATCACCACTAACATTACTTCTTGGTTTGATTTTAGTCACCCATCAAAATCATCACTGATAAGTTTTAATTTGTTTTAGTGATGATATGACATTATCTTATGATAACATGTCAACATCACCGTTAATTTTTTAACTATAGGTGATCAAAATATAATGTTAGTGATGATTTTGAAAAAAATAAGTCGGTGACCAAAACAGAACTAAAATGATAATTGCGTGATTAAATACATAATTCACCCTATTTTTATAACCAGTTATATATAAACAATTCATTGATGAATTAATTTAAGTTCATTGATAGTAGAGATCAATTCTAGGCATCCTTAAGTTTGATATCCTTGGCTAAGCCATGAGACAGTGACTTAGGTGTACTGTCGTGTATCCATAGGCATGGAAAGGGTCTGGCTCCAAAACATTTTTAGTCGAAAGGACCTATCAGTTTAGTATCAAGGCACTGTCTTCCAATTTTAGATCAAAATATTTATTAGGTCCCTGTTGCTTCTAAAATTAGACAACTTAACCCCTGATCCTAGCTCTCACCCCCATTCTGAAAATGGGGACAAGGCAAACGAATTAAAAACAAATTTGATGGTTGATTCTCCAATGTTTGCAGTTGTTTCTCGGGGTCAACATGGTGTGAATGAAAATGTTGGACCGGCTTAATTCTGAAAGTTGTAGGTTATATGGTGTGTTCCTCTACAAGTCTCTAAGTTTTTACCGGACTAACTCAAGGAAATACTCCGCACTCAGGTGAATTTCGACACAACACAATTACCTGAATCGCCAATTATTTGTGTTAAGACTTGGAACATGAACATGAACACAAACACGAGTAAGACACAAATAACTTGTTTAAAGCTCGCGATTATTTGGCAAGGAAAAGAAAGAAAAAATTTCCCCTCCATTGTTTTTTTTTACGAGCACCCTTCAAAGTAGATGACACTTCTCAGTTATGTGCATTGCAGCTGCACTTTGTAATTAGGCCTGTAAATGAACTGAACGTTCAGCGAACCGTTCGTGAATCGTGTGGCGGGAAGTTTCTTTATGTGTGTTTATTTATTAAATGAACGAACATGAATAAGATTTTGTGTTCGTTTAATTAAATGAACGAACATGAACATATTCTCGTTCGTTCATTTACGTTTGTGAACGTTCGATTATGTTCGTACGGTTATGTTCGTTTATGTTCGTTCGGTTATGTTCGTTTATGTTCATTCATTTATGTTTAACCCAATATTCTTAAATCAATTTTGGTGACCAATTTGTAAGTATCTTAAAAATATTAATTAATCTAATATTCTGATGACTAACTCTATAATTAACCCAATTTTATTTGGAGATTAAATCCAATATGTTAACCCGTGAGGCACCTCGCACCTATATTCATTTCCCCTTTTTTTTTCCCAAAACCTAGTGTTCACTGGAGAGTGAAGACGATCGCTGAAAACTTCAAAACAAATTATATTATAGTGCAATTTTTACATGTCTGTTTTTATCTCTTTCTCTATTTTATTTGGCTTAATAGTTGATATGTAAAGTTATTGAGAGTATCTTCACATCTAAAACTCAAGAAATCATCATACTTCTTTCTAGAAATAGATAGGAAGATAAAGGTAACAATCGGAAGTATATGACCATCAGTAAAGAGAAAAATATATAGAATTTGCCAGAAAACAAAACAAAGGTTTCTATGCAATTTCTGAAAAAGAGTGTAATAGGTAATGTATTTTCCAGGAAGAACCCATTAATAAGTAGAAAATACACTTTGACAATGAACTTTTGTTTTCATAGTTCTTGTGTGACCTTTAGTTGTGGAGTAGACTTTAGGTACGTTAAAATTTTGAATGGTGGTTTAGCAATAATATCAATTACGATATGTAGCATCGAATGGATTTCGGATCTATGTTATTGTCTTATAGTCTAATTTGTACCGTTCGAAATATTCATGCTGTTAAATTTTCTACTCTCACAACGGAAAAGACTATTATTAACAAACCTCACTAAAGTCTGACATTAATGTCACAAAACTTTTAGCCGGCGAATTTATTAGAATAAAGTAGTGAAAAATGATTATTCATATGTAATCATGGACCACTAAGATAAATGTTGTAGCGTTAAATTAAAGTCGTGTGAATCATTTAATATCTTTAAAAGATCAATCGAAATATTTGATATCTTCAAACATTTCATCACTGCTAATCAGCTCTTACGTTATTTATCACTGTAGATTTGGTTGATTTGCATTGTCGACTATTTTTCATGAAAGAACAATAGAAGGTAGGGTCTCCAACGTTTATGTTCGTTTATTTTCGTGTTCATTTATGTTCGTGTTCGTTTATGTTCGTGTTCGTTTATATTCGTTTATTTATTAAATGAACGAACATGAACAAAAAAAAATTGTTCGTTTATGTTCGTGTTCATTTATATTTGTTTATTTATTAAATGAACGAACATAAACATACTTCCGTTCGTGTGCGTTAGGTTCGTTTACATGCCTATTTGTAATCATGCATCAAAGGACAGATTTTGCAACTGAGATTTCAACCATCTTAAACCAGAAGGGGAAAATAATTGGAATTAGGGAAAGGTTTACCAACAATTTCGTTTTCTCGGAATATAGTTTTCGAGCTACAAACGGAACCCAGAAGCCAAGTACCTTATCATTCCTTGCGAAGATCTATTCCGGCCTTCTTAGCAACAGCATCCAGTCCATTCTTCTCTATGGTCTTCAACGCCTTGGTTGACAAACGCAGTTTCACATAGCGTTTACCAGCTTCCCACCACACCTTCTTGTATTGGAGGTTCACAAACTGCAATCTCTTTGTCTTATGGTTCGAGAAAGAAACATGGTTAGCTTTGTTCGCCTTCTTCCCGGTAAAAGGGCATATTCTTCCTGTAAAATGATGGATCCAACATATGAATCACTCCAACTATTCATTGTATTTCAAACAATTAAATGGCTCTGATTTAAATGAACAAATGCTTGAGGATGATAGTATGTTCGCTCTATTCTTTCAAGGAAGGATCCTTATGACTAGATTTAACCAGGCTCAAACATGAATGTTATTATATCCGGAAGATGTCTCCGGAAACAACTAACTCTCCACCCCTCCAGTCATCCCGGGTAGATAGCTTCGCTCACTATAGTTTAAAAGAATCTATATCTTTCGATCATAAGTCTCTTAATCAAACACAGTGTGTAAATAATAGGGGTGAGCAAAACTTGACTAGAAAAAAATTCAAATTTGAGTCGAGTAATAAAATAAAACTCGAATGTTAACTCGAATAACTCGAAATTTTGTAATTAATAGATTAATTTTCAAGTTTAAGTCGAGTCCTAAACTCTATATGATATATGTATATCACATATGAAAGAAAGATGAAGATTAAGGTATATGCTTATAGAAAACAGTAACTCAAACAACTCGATTCGAAAAAAAATCAAATAAAGTTTGAGTTATAAAATATGACTCATTAACTCAAATAACTCGAAATTTTTTTTACTCAACTCGACCGAATGCTCGCCCCTAATAGACAAGAACTCTGACAAGTCCACATGACCTAGTAGGACAAAATCCAAGATCTAACGATCAGATCTGTCTAGCTCATCAATCTACGAATTATCATCGTTACCCTAAGTCTAACAGAACCAATTAGGGAGGGACTTCTTTTTCTCTCGAGGTTCCTATCTAAACAGATATCTTCTTTCTCATGTTATCTTCATCGTCCTATAACAGAAGATCGCCAGCCAACGGCTGATTCTCTTTTATGGCTCTCCGAGAGCCGCCTAAATAAGAAAGGGTAAATCGCCAACCGACGAAACTAATTTGTTACCATGAACAAATGTGAGATACGACTATATGTCAATTAAATCACCTCTAATTTCACTTCCATGAATCATAATCTTATCTAATTCAAGCTTAGAATTAGATAAATGCAAACAATTCAAAGATGCCAGCTTGGGATTTATGTTTTTCCATAGATTTCTCCAATATGCAACTTAAAACTAATCAACTTCACATTTTCACTTAACCTTTACATTCAAGTAAACGAACCCACATATATTATCAGGAATTCTCACTAAAACTATTCTAAAAACACCTACTCACTTAACAAAACTTTGCATTTTAATACCACAATGAAAAACTACATAATTGAAACAGAGAAAGAGAAAGAAGCAAAACTGAAGCCAACCCAGAAATTTAACTATAAAATCCGAAAGGTAAATAGAAAAAATAATCAGTAAAATAGAAAAGAGAAGGATTTACGAGCAACAGGCTGGAGAGCTGGAGAGAAAGGAGAGGATACGGGCTTTAGAGGAGGCAGGTTGTAGGAGATTTTGATGCCGGAGAGTTGGGAAGAAAGAGAACCCAGAAGTGGCAGAGATGGCCTTGCCTTTAGAGCCTCTGGTTTGCTAAACCTAAGAGCTGAACTACTTCCGAAAGTGACCAATGTTGCCATTGTTGTTTTCTCTGGTTTATCAGCTTATCTGCCCGGAGAGGAAGAAAAAAAAAGGATGAGTTGTGGATTGAATGAATAGGGTAGGATAATGAAACTTTAAATTACAAATTTAATAAGGGCAAAGTACACAAATGGTACCTTGAGTATAGCATATTATTTTATTAAGTCTCTCGATTATTAAAAGTTATAAAATAGTCTTTAATTATAGGGTGTTTTTTATTGAATCTTCTTATTATTAAAAGTTACAGAATGATCACCAACTAATCATATGTTCCAAATTTGTCATTTTCGTTAAAAAGTTGAGCACAATTTAAGTTGAACGTTATTCTGCTAATTGAGATATGATAAATTATTATCCTAAATCTCAAATGACTATCATATCACATTCAACATGTTACCATCCAACTCAGATGACTATTAAATTTTTAACAAAAAAATGAGTTTGGAGTATATAAATAGTTGAATAACCATTTTACAACTTTTCAAATGCCTCAATAAAATAGTACCCTAAATTCAAAAGATCATTTATGTACTCTACTCAATTAATAAAGTTCAATATTTGCCAACTAAACTTATTTCTTGGCTTCTCAATTCTTTAAAAAAAAAAAGAGAATAAAATTCATTGGAACAAGTTAGGGTAGCCAAATTCATTGATTGCATGCCTAGCAAAATAATCTGCAATGTAATCAAAGATATCATAGATTATCCCCGTATTAATGGTGATCAAAGGGGGTAAAAAGAAACAAAAAAGTAGTCCTACTTGTACAAGACTTCAAAAGTACCAGTATATAATGCAAACTTTTTAACTGTCCATGATAATATATCTACTTTTAGGGGTGTTTGGTTCAGGTAATACGAGATTATCGGAGGAATTGAATGTAATTCTCCCGTTTAGTTGGCCAGTAATCTTATTCCCCGGTAATCTTTTATTCCCAACAGTGGTATTTTTGAGGTATATTACTGGGAATGTGATTACCCATTCCCTTAGGTATTGTTGGATTACCAGCGTTTTAGACTAAAATGCTCTTAATTTTTTTCAAAAATATCCTTCTTCTGTCATTGAATAATAAAAATTATACGAAGGTTAAATTATAAATGTATCCTTAAACTATTTTAGTTTTACAAAAAAAATTTCATAATTAGAATTTTTTTATAAAGTTCAGTGGTTAAAATAAAATTTTACCCTTTCTTTAAACCTATTTATCTTTTCAATTTTGTAAAAAAAATTATATAAATTTTATGAATTTAAATGTTTTAAAGAAAAATATATAAATTAATTATAGTAATATTAGAGTATTCAACTTGTTAAAAAAACAAATATATAATAAGGACAATTTGGTAAAATATATATTCCAATAATTTTTTATTCATTTAACTAAACATTGTAATCTTACATTCCTGTTAAACGAACCAAATACAAATACAACATTCTCAGTAATCTTATTCACGCCGATAATCCTATTCTCACTGGTAATCTTATATTTCGTGAACCAAATGCACCCTTTACAGTAATGTCGAATTAAAGTTAAAAGCTATAATGGAGAGACCATCACCAAGCTGGTCAGACAGATTTCGCACCTACAGATCTAAAGAAGCAGCTTAGGAAGTTGAGATGATGTAGTGAGACATCAACGTTTGTATTTGTTTGATTCAATTAATTTCGATGATGAATTTTATTTTTTCTAAAAACAGAAAGTTAAAATTTAAGTTAATAAAATCAGATAGCCCAATCGGTTGAATTTCAAAACAAGATTTTCAAGATTTATTTAATTTTAAAAGGAATTCAGGGCTGCACAAACAAGAATTGGGTCCGTAATTTAGGGATCTTACCCAACTAGATAAATTGGGAATTTAGTAACTGAATCAAGTATCAATCAAATTAGAAAAGGGAAGCAAATTAAGGGATAATTTACCCCCAAGAAAAATTGAAGTTGGTCATGAGTTAGGTATTCGAAAACACCATCCTTCGTTGAAGATGAAGAGCCTTTAACCCAAACTATAGCTGGACAGACAGCTCACCGAAATTCAGATTAGAACTCATAGATTGGGCAAGTATATGCTACCAAAAATCCTTTTAAAACAAGCCTCGATTAGCTTGAATTCTAAAATTAGGGGTGAAGTTATCATATTTTAACTTTTAATAAATTATTTATTTACTTACAAAATATTGACATGTTACTTATTGATTATGTTTTTTTTCACATTTTATGGATGTCTCGTACCTTTAAATGGTTATGATTAATGTATTAGATATTGATGAATGAAATAATAATACTACCTCCATCTCACTTGGGACGTCCATTGTTGACTTTTTTTTAATTATTTTTTTTTGAATTTTGTCTCTTTATTATATAAAATTTGTTATTGACAAAAGTATGAAAAAAATATATTTTAATAACCTTCAATCAAGTAGTTTTAAAATGTATATTTTATAAAATTTAGTTTTTTTAAAATGTTTAAAATAATTATAGTCAAAGTTTTAAAGTCAATAAGGGATAATTTCAACGTCACACAGGGAATGATAATAAATTGAATCCTAACCCATGTCAGAGATGGGTTTTCTAGTTACTTTACGATTGAAATTCCAGCTTCTGAGATGAAATGATCAAAGGTAAATTTCTTTAAATATGGTAAAAAGAAATGTTACTCAGAATCTAGGTTTGAGCAACTGTGTCGGTATAGTGTGTGCGCATTGTTAATGATTAAAAAATATTCTAGACATCAACACTATTCTATTATTTCTAATCCATTCCGGTTTTCACCAACCAAAACTCAAATCAACTGCCTAGGATGATATATTGGGTCATTTCACCTACCATTCATAATAAAAAATCAAATTATTTGAAAACATTAAACAGCTTAGCCTATGGACGGTATAAGGAGAAGAAGGGCCCCAGGATTCAATGTTTTGCAAAACTCAAATATGAAGGGAACTTTCAAGGGCATCCTATGCTGATATGCTCTAATCATCAGGCATCATAATATGTATGATACACTCTTACGACACCCTAATCATGGGATAATGTAACCTTGATCCAGTAGAGATCTAAAACCTTTGACTCAATACGTACCACATGCTTTTTTGTTCACAAATTCAAATGTTGAGTAAACCCCCAGAGCAACCCAAATGATGATAATGGGACTTTCGACTTCGAAGCCCAAGAATTTGCAGCGTTGCAGCACCTGTATGGCTAAGGGCTCGTCCATGTTAACTCAAAATTCAGCTGAGCAACACCTAACTGATCAACCTGCACCATGAAGCTCAGATTCAGCCATGATCGGACACTTCGACTTCACCTTTGAACTCTCGAGCATCTATCCTCCTGTACAACACAAGGAAAAATACAGGGGGGAATGATTATGTCATCCTCAAGTGTCAACTACCACTATGTTTATTGCTACCATCATTACGAAGTGTTCAACCCAAGTGGCCCATAACTCCACTGCTATCAGTAAAACCGTTGGTACATCTTCTTAAGACCCCTACCGTCATACCAAAAGTCAAGCATAATTGTCTATCCCAAATTTCTTACGTGATATAATGAAGTATTCAAAACAGCCAATCAATAGATTAACTAATATTAGCTTAAACACTAGCTTGATAATAAATGTAGCGGTGCAATGAGAAAACAAATACAAAGCAAGCCAAATTTAAAATCTACACTCAATAGCAAAACCAAAGAAAGCATCCATTATGCCTCAAAGCTACTTATTATAACTAGCCAAATTATATATTTTTAAACTACTGGGATTCAAGCAACCCAACCGGTCCCAAGGAGATTTGAGATCCAACTCGAGCCACTCCTGTTGCTCCCAGAACAAGAAACCGTCACAAAGAGGCATGATCAAGTTGTCTTTCAAATGCTCGAATCACTGTTGTGCTTGTCGACCCTGAGCACTACCGTATCCACCACCATAACCGACTTGTCCACTTGCCTGAATACCCCCATAATTTCCGGAACCTTGTGATGAATCTGACCTCCATGATGCATTTCGGTAACCTGAATTTCCACTTGCATCGCCATATCCACTTCCCATGTAGCCAGCACTCCCTTGCATATCTCCCCCACCTGAACCAGAATTACTATTTGGAGTACCACCAGTTCGACCTCCTGGAGCACCATAGCCTGCATTCCCATAAGATTCATCATTTCCTCCATACCCACCGTATCCATAACTTTGATTCCCATACCCTGCAGCTCCAGTGGGAGATTGACCAGTAGCCACTGAACCTGTACCACCACTACCAGCACCAGCATTTGGGGTACCCCAAGGAGCAGGATTTCCATAACCCACGGTACCATAACCTGAAGGATTTTGAGTACCCCATGAACTTCTTGAGCCACCAGGAGGGCCACTTGCAAAACCAGCATTGGGATTCCCATACGCTGCACCTGCAGGGCCACCATAAGCAGCAGCTGCACCACTATAATTCCCATAACCACCATATGCAACAGCATTATTAGCAGGACCATAACCATAACCAGGTGCACCATATCCTGATGAGCCATAAGGTGGAAAACTAGCTCCAGTACTCTGGGCTTGCATGTACCTGTTGGAGTCCATACGACCATCATAAGAACCCGCATTCCCACCAGAAGCACCATACCCCTGGTAACCTCCTCCACCACCACCACCACTCATTGTCCGGCTAACCCCACCGGGATTAGCATCTTTAGGAAGGGCCCGCTTCACTTCAACTTGCTTGCCATCCAAATCATGAAAACTCTTGTGCAAAACCCTATCAACTGCATCTTCACTGTCGAATGAAATAAAACCAAATCCACGAGGCCGCTGAGTGTTCTGATCATACATGATTACAACATCAGTTACATTACCATAAGTCTCAAAGTATTGCCGAAATCCATCTTCTGTTAAGGTCGGAGGCAACCCTCCAACAAAAATCTTCTTGGTCCTAATATTTCCCCCACCACTTCCAGAATTTCTACCCTGATTAACATTTCCAGATCTCGCCGAAGTTTGTTGCTCCTCTCTTGATAACGCCCTCTTCACCTCAACCTGGAGAAAAACATGATCATATCTTACAATAGTGAACTAATCTTAAAAACCCACAGATAAAATCACAAACTTGGATGAAGTTGGAACCATCAAGCGGGTCACTAAGATTAAATTGCTTTTAAAAAAATCAGCCTTGGCAAGGTAAAATTAAACTTTGGTGCGTCTAAATAATTGATAATTCAATTTAATTCCTTGTTTAAAAGGGAAAATTGCAATTTTGACCCTCCCAAAAACTAATAATCTAGTTGAAGCAAGTTTAACAGAAACCGTTTAAATACTGACTGAGATTAAGAGGAACAAAGAAATGAAACTCGGAACAAATCATACCGTTCTACCATCGATGGTGTGTTTTTCTTGAAGAACAGTATCGAGAACGGATGGATCTGAGAAGACGACGAAACCGAACCCTCGAGGTCTACCCGTAACCTTATCTCTCATAACAACAGCCAGCAAAAGTTCTCCATATTGACCAAAGTATTCGCTTAGCTTATCCTCGTCGGTTTCCCATGATATCCCTCCAATGAACAACTTTCCTTGATCTGAATCCATTATCTCCCCCTTTTTCTAATTCTTCTTCCTCGAAATCTGGGAAAAAGCTTTTGATTTTTACTGGGCTTCTTTCGCTAGGATTTTTCGGTTCGGGGATTTGGAGAGGAAGAGATTTTGGAGTTTGAGAGCGTTGATAGCTGTGGAGAAAGAATAAGAACGAAGGAAAATGAATGTGTGCTTTGGACAGTGGAGATCGTAGGATATTTTGGAATGGACGGTTGTGATTTGGTTTTATATCATTAGGTCGTTAGGTTAGTGAAAGTTTTTTCCAGTCCGCGTTTAGTTTAGGAAAACATTACTATTATCATAATATTTTTCTGATTGTATTTTCATGTTTAGTTTGTACTATAATTTTTGTTTGTATTAATAATCTTTTACTAAGAATAAAGTTTTTTTTAATGGAAATAACTAGTTTTATTAGAAAGATAAAATATTTAAAATTATAATAAATGTTTTATAATCATAAATATATAATAACCACATAATTAAAATATGTTCTTATAATTATTAACAGAAAAATTAATCACTTAAGATTACGCAAAGCCCATATAAAGAAAATGTTAAAAATTTAATTAAAAATACGAACAAAAGATAGATACGAAAAAATCGTATCGTATCGGCAAATAAATCACAAAAAAAAATAAAACTATTAAAAGATCATAGACAACCCACAAATCAGAATCGAACGAAGTGAATAAACTATTCATGAACGTTGCGTATACAAATCAAAATATGATGATCCAAAGCAGGAAAGATCAGTATAATAACAAACAAGCGACATATTGATTAGTCATGGCGATGTCAAATCTAACTTTATGAAAAATATGTCATAAAAGTAAAAAAAATATGTCATAAAAGTGGGGAAAAACATTTTATAGAGACAGAATTATTAGAAATTAAAATATGAAAGAAACAAAAAAATTAAATAGAATAATGATTTTCGATGATAGACGACTAACATTAAGACTGGTGTTGGTGTTGCAAACATTGAAAAAATTAAACGGGCCGCCAAAATATTGTTTCCCTTAAATGATATAATTGTCATCCTCTTTAATTTTTTAATTAGGGTAAAATATACAAGTGATCACTTATTATAAGATATTGTTTTATTAATTTATCTATCTATTGAAAGTTAAAAAAATTGTCCCTTAATCATATCTTTCCTTATAGGTTAATGTCTAGCTTGAATGATCGTTAATTTTATACCGAAAAATGACAAATTGATAACATAATAATAATCGAATCGAATGATTATTTTGTAACTTTTAATAGTTAGATGACTCAACAAAATATTAAGATTTTGCTACTTCTAAAACATGTTTGTTTTCCCATTTTACTGTGGTGTGTCAACACATGCCATACCCTTCTCCTAAAACTAAGAACCTTAGTCTCATCATCAGTTATTAAATATTTTATGTGACTTTTAAATTTGGATGACTTAATCTAAAGTGTCATACCATAATATCATTGAAAGAGAACTAATGGTTAGTGAAAGAATAGATATGGAGTTGTAACTTGATGAAAATTGTCCTTTAGGAGGTATTTATTTGACCTTTTAATATGTTGAGGTCATCACGCAGTATCGTACTGTCAATCACTTCTTCTGGATCTATTACTTGAAATTTACAAACATTTGGATTAAATTTATAAAAATTCCTTAAAAAAATTCCTTAAACATTTTTTTGAAAATAATAGAGATAAATGCATTGGTCCATGCTTAACAAGTGTTGGTAAGGACTGAAAGATTGTGATATCATTTGTCATGCTTAGTAAATTATGAGTAATAGTAAATTGCTATTAATTTCTTAAACATGATTAAATCCTTCTGTTTAAGTTCATTACTTCTATTTCATAATCCCTCAAAATATAAGGTTTATTTTTAAACTATATTAACAAATAGACTATTTAAAACATACAATCTGATTAAATTATAATATTTAAGGCTTTAATTCAACCAACATCATTTTTTTAACGAGAAACGGTTGATTTTAATATACGAAATATCTAAAATTATAATAAAGGGTTATAATCATAATATTAAATAAGCATGTAATAAAGATATTTTCGTGTAACTACTGACATAAAAAATTAGTCACTTAAGATCATATAAGGACACAAAATGTTAAAAACCAATTAAATAGCTCGAACAAAAATTAGATATGAACATATTTGACTGCATCGGTAAATGAATCATAAACGGGGATCAAACTACTAAAAGATCATTGAAAAATGCGAACCAAAGTCGAGAGACATAATAAAACTATCAACAAACGCAACCGCATATCCAAATCCAATATAAGAGTCCAAATCCGGGAAGATCTTCATGATAAGAAATAAGCACCGTCTTGATTAATCGAGATGATTCGAATCCAATCCTAAGAAAATGATAAATGAAAAGAAACGATTAAACGACCGATAAAAAGATCAGAAACGTGTCAAAAGACAGAGAAAAACGTATCACAAAGATAAAAAGAGTACCATGAAGGTAGGACTATAAAAAATTGCAATAAAAATAAAAATGTGATGTAATAAAATAAAGGAAAATAAGGGATACCAACAGTCAACAACTAATACTAAGATTAATATCTTTGCCAGCCAAGTCAAGAGGAGAGAAAAAACCGTAGAATATTTGAGCAGCTCTGGTTTCATGTTTGTTCATTTAACATTAATTGAACAAACGAACTAACAATTAAACAAACAAAAAATCTTGTAGTGTTCATTCGTTAAGGAATGTAGTTTGTTCGTGTTCATTTGTTAAAATGATGAACGAACATAAACAAACGAACACAAACGAACATAAAATTAATTGAATTTATATTTGAGAATAGTTTTTTTCCCAAATAATTTCAAGGTTTGTATTTTCTTTAATTGTTTTGGGTATTTGGATTTAAAATTAATTAAGTTTTTAAATATTATTGAGTTTAAATTTATAATTTATTAGGTCTTAATATTTTAAACGAGTTTGTTGATTGAGTTGAATTTAAACGAAAAGATTATTGAATGTTCACGAACATAAATAAAAGAACAAACCCTTTGTTTGTGTTTGTGTTTGTTCATTTAATTAAACGAACATAAAATCTTGTTCATGTTTGTTTGTTTAATAAACAAACGAATATAAACAAACTTCCCGCTAAATAATTCATGAATGATTCTCTAAATGTTCGAACAAAAACAAACCTAATAATTTATATACTATAAAAATTAACTATATTATAATATAAATATTAAAATAATATATTAAGTTGTTTATGTTCATAAATTTAATAAAAAAGTTATATATTGCGAGTAACAGAAAGAAGAAGAAAACAGAATTTGTATTTTTAAAAAATAATATAAATAAATTTGAGATAACCGTGTAAAAATATAAACAGTTCCATTTAAAGTTTTAAATTTCAAGTCAGATTAAACTTAAAACAATTATATAAAATGTCACTAACCTACATAATTTAGATCTCCACCTCCATCCATAAACTCCTCTACTATAAGATAATAAATATATTTTATATTTCAAAATTATAGTATATAATTTCAACAAACATTATTGAAATAACATAAGATAAAAAAAAGAGAGAAAAACAAACATTAAAGAGAAGTGAAGATAGACAGTTGTAATCTTCAGATGTAAACAATAATAGAGTAGAGTAAATATTTGATTGAGTTGAATTAATTTGAATAAAATGATTTTGAGATGAAGAAATTTTATTTTATAATTTAAATTTATTTGAAAATTTGAGTTGAGTCGAGCTTATAAAATTAGATTTGAATCGTTTAAGTTTATATTTAAATTTATTTGTATATATTTATAATATTATAATATTAATTAAAATTTAAATTATTGTTTATAACAATATATGATATCCATATATATTTCTTTGTAATATATATAATGTGCAGAGTTGAGAGACTGAAATCAAATTTAAAAACTAATCCACTAATTACTAAAAGAAAATTGAGTTATTCAAATCATGATTTATAATTCAAACTTTATTTAATTTTTTTAATCAAATCGAGGTTTATTCACACTTACCAACAAGAAAGTATTACTAACGAATATTAATTCAAGTGATAAACAATTTAATATCATTTATTTTGAATTAATTAAGATAAAGCTTTGTAAAACTGGGAGTGAAAAAAAACAGTAACAATAAGGAAGTGTTGTTTGTCTTGGTATTTTATTGTATATATGAAACCCACCTCCATCACTTTTGGGCCCTTGCATCATCATTAAAGGTTCCAACGTTCTTATTTTTTTCGTAAACCGTTGGATACTAAAAAAAAAATCAAATTTAAAAAACACCCCACTATCTCATTTCCACCTTTCACTTCTTTTTGTTGTTTTTCTCACTCTCTTTTGTTTCTTCTTTTTCTTCATGGATCTCTTCTGATTCCCCACCGTTTTGGTGCTTCTACCATGGGGTGTTTCCTTGGTTGTTTTGGTGGTTCTACTAAAAGAAAACGTCGGAAACCAGCCAACCGGATTCTCCCTGGACCTGCAGATTCAGCAAGTTTTTTTCATTTTTTGTGTGTTTTTTGATAATGAGTAACTAAAGTTTCAATTCTTGATATTTAATGGTTGTTGTTGTTGCAGAGATTTGTTAGATATGAACCCTTGGATTCCTCTAATTATACAGATGTTGACATCCCAGAAGATTCCCTTGTCTCAAAATCTCAGCTAAGGCAAGTTGCAGAGTTTTTCCCCCTAATGAAAGTGTTTCTTTAATTGAAACATTACATTGTATTGTAATTTTAAAGGTATCTGATTTCTATGTTGATTGCAGTTATAAGCCCAAAATCAGGAAGAAAGTGAGCTTCAACTTGAATGTTCAAACCTATGAGCCGATTCCGGATGAAGAAACAACCACGTACCAGTTTTTAAAGAGTGTTGAAGAAGAAGAATACAAGGCAAAGAATGGAGGAGAATCTGTTTCGAGTTCACTGCAGATGAATGTTTATCCAAGCAACTACAGATACCAAAACTGTAGAGACAGCTTTGATGAAGAAGATGAAATGTTGTGTGAAGAAAGTGATCTAGAAGAACAAGAAGAAGAATATGACGATGATGATGAATTTGAATCTCTAAACATGGATGAGGACAAGTCCAAGAATCAAATGTCAGTTGGCGATTCAACAGATGGAAATGCAAGGATAAGAAGCCAATATATATGTTCCGTGCTGAATCCGGTGGAAAACACGACTCAGTGGAAAGACATCAAAGCTAGAGCAGCCTACTCGAAGCAGAAGGAGAATGTTGCAGTAGAGGAAGAACCAGAATTACAATCAAAGCCCCTTCTGCAAGACGTAGCAGTGGATGCTAGCCTCTCCAATTGGTTGATTTCACCGAAGAAAAGCATATCAGACAGGAGAAGTGGAGAAGATAGGGTGATCTTAGATATCACCAACCTATAGTTTTCAAGAGAGTATTTAAGATCCAAAGGCAGCAGCAAGTTGCGTTTCTCCTGTATTCTAAGTTTATGATGCAAGGGTGTGTACAAGTTTGGTGTTTGTTTGTCAGTTTTTCATTCTTTGATATTAGAGTTCTAAAGAGCAATAGATTTGCAGATATTAGAGTTCAATACAGACGAAATCAGCTACATGACGGATCTAAAAAACCAGGGGGAAACAGAACAAGAAGTATCAAATATCAAACAAATTAGTATGAAATTCAACAAAGGAGCAATTACCTTGGTTCCAACACCAAAATCTCTGCGAGTTTATTCCCATTTCTATCATTCCATTGGACTTTTCGCTCGGTTTTTTCAGATTTTCTTGATATCCCACCTTTCTTCGGTGGCAATAAAGTATTTGACTCACTGTAATCATCTCCATTAGTATGAACTTCAACTTTCGGAGAATCTATGGTACCTGAAATTTCATTTCCATGTCCATTAACGTCATTATGGACGGCATCCATTGGCTGTTACACCTCCCAGCAACGCAAAATTCTGCTAAACCTAAAACAGAACTGGCTTCAAAATTGATGATTGGGGACAAAAGTTGGATCTTTTTATCTCGAATCATAAACCCATTAAGCCAACTGGGTGAAGAGATTCCATAAACCTTTCTCTCAAAGTTGAAGGAAAACCACTGACCTCTGTTAGTTTGTTAATATACAAAAATCACATATAACCCAGAAAGCAAAAGAAAAAAAACTGATGAAATAAGAAAACCCAGTATTAAAACTGGGTTTGGAATAATTCACTGATGAATTTATAGAATAAAGTCAACGTCTTTTTCTTTTTGACACAAAAATATTAGGTAAATTACACTAATCATCACTGAACTTTACTTTCTTTTCCTATTTCACTCACTGTACTTGAAATATGTTCAATTTACGCACTAAATTTAATACAATTAACATTTTTGTCACTCTGTCGTTAAATATTTATCGACGTTAAAATGATACCGTTTTAGAAAATAATTTTTTTACCAAAATAACATCGTTTTGCATCTATATAGCAACTCATTTATAAGTCGTTTAGTGAGAAAATAGTTAAATGACCAAAAATACTAATTGTGTTAAATTTAGTGAAAAAATTGAATGAATTAAAAGTACAATAAATAAAACAATAGAGAGCGTAAAATTCAATGGTGATTGGTGTGATTTACGCTAAACAATTTGTACCATTTATCTTGGTATTTTGTAAAGGGGAAATAAAACTAACATTTAAAAAAGTTGTTAAATTGTTTTATTTAATATATTATATGTAAAATTAAAATATAAAAAGAATAGAATACTCACCAACATTATTTATAACTTATAAAAAAATAGCCATTTTGAAACTGCTATTTCATTCAAATAAGAGAAAATAACTTCAGTGACCGAAAATGCCTTATAATATACGATTTTAATCAACCTTTTTTTTGATTTGCGAAAATGACCAACAAATTCGCAACGCGAACTCCAATTTCGCAACTCAGTTTCCAAATTCGCAACGCGATTTTCAAATTCACAACGCGAATCTGTAAATCGCAACACAGAAGTCAAATTCGTAACGAGATTTCCAAATTCGCAACGTGATTTACAAAGCGTTGCGATTTACAAATTCGCAACACTGAATTTCAAATTCGCAACTCGATTTCTGAATTCGCAACTCGATTTTCGAATTCACAACACGAATTTTAATTTCGCAACAGGTTTTATTTTCGCAACACAAATGTTTTGGGTATATAACTACGCAGCAGCATCAACTCATAACCTAAATCCCTAAATCGCAACTCATTACATCTCCATCTATCACTCTCTCCGGCGACATTCGTTCCTATATCCAACGACATCCTTCCCCATCTCTAATTTTTTTTACATAATTTTATTTCTATATAATTTTTCAATGATTTCTCTCCCAAATTATCAACTATCAACTTAATAAAGGTATATTCTTCTCTAAGTTAGTGATGATATGTAGTTTATAACTCGTTTGTTTAGTAAATTAATTTACAATTTGTAGAATGAAATCATCTAATGTTGATCATGTTTGGATAGATTTGTGGTTTGGAGGGTCATGGGAGAATGTTCATGGTGTTTTACGATATATGTCTTTACCCATGAATCTTCAACTAAAACTGTCATTAAAAAAGTTAACTTATGAAACTCTAATGTTACGTGTTGCAAAGAAATTGAATTTAGAGCCTCTAAGTGGATTTAGGCTATCTTATCAGAGAAAAGGTAAAGTTTATTTGTTAACCGACAATGAAGATGTTGAACGATTCATTGCTTACATTAGTGTTTCACAAGAAGATGATGTTACATTGTATGTTGTTGAACCTAGAAGTAGTGAAGTTGGGTCAGTAGCGGGTAGTAATCAACTAAGTTCTTCAACCCCAGTTTATGGTGCTCACAATGTACAACGTTATTATCAACCTCAAAATTTAATGGTTCTACCACAATTTCATGACCAATAAAATTTTGTTTCACCACATTTCCAATACCAAACACAATATCAAACACAATCTCGAAACCCACAACCTTTTCCTAATCCAAATCACAATCAACTTTCAGTACCAAATTCTGGTTTTCGTATTGAACAGTTAGACCATGATGAGCCAACAGAAAAAATTGTGAGTACTAGTCAGTATTCGAAATTTGATCTTGGTCAATACCCAGACTTTGATCTTGGTCAATACTCGGATTTTGATGATGTTTCAGAAGAAGAAACAGACCATGCGTGTAATGATTTTGATATTGGTCAATACCCGAATTTTGATGATGAAACAGCCACTGCCGAGGAAGATGTTATTGATGATAATGAGGAGGAAGTTATGTAACACCCCCAACCCGTATCCGATCCGGATACGAGTCCGAAGTGTCACATTGACTTTTCAAACATTTATTCGTATAAAATAGTGAGTAATTTAAAAACTTTGATAACATTTAACTTATTCAAAACGTTTACAAAATATATATCAGAGTTCATACAATTTATGTCTTTAGACTACATGCCAACTACACTCTATATACAGTACATATATTTCTGATCTGACAATTGGGTAAGGAGAACTGACCTGTCTTGCTCCTCTTAGCTCTTTACTCTTCTCACTTCTGTATCCTACGTGTGAAACAATCACACGCTAAGTCATTGACTTAGTGAGGCATAAAACATATAATAAAACTCTAACTCGTAATCATGCTTGAACAATTTCTACTAACATATCACATACAAGCATCATACCCACATATACATGTAATGATTCCTACTAGCACCTTTCATATATATATATATATATATATATACATATCCATGCATACATATAATTATCTTCTTTCCTATCATTATCATATTATCACCTTTCATATTTCTATTCTCTTGTTCATATAATCAATTAAGCTCATATCATATATCTTATAGCTATACAATAATCACTAACACATATATCATATACAGTACATTCCATGTTATCTCTTATTAGCCCATGTGCACCTGTGAGAACTGTAGATGTGAGTCTATTGAGGTTGTGCACCACTATGCTGTCACCACAGTCATATAAATGTCCCGAAGGACCTATCCAGAGGTCACAAAGACCCCGGTAACTGTCCAGAGGTCATAAAGATCCTCGGTAACTGTCCAGAGGTCATAAAGCTCGGTAACTATCCAGAGGTCATAAAGATCCTCGGTAACTGTCCAGAGGTCATAAAGATCTCGGTAACTGTCCAGAGGTCATAAAGATCCTCGGTAACTGTCCAGAGGTCATAAAGATCCTCGGTAACTGTCCAGAGGTCATAAAGATCCTCGGTAACTGTTCAAAGGTCATAAGATCCTCGGTAACTGTCCATAGGTCCCGAAGAACCTAGGTAAACTTTCCATATGTCTCGAAAGACATAGGTAAACCCTCGACTCTTGGCATGCCAACTATACCCTAGCTCTCATGACACATAACATGGGCGTTATCATTAATTTCATTTCAAATATTCACATAAACTTGTAATTCACTTTCACATATCACGTATCGCATAGCTTCTTTTCATATCATCACATAGTCATATATCATGTTTTCAGATAATTTCTATCATTTCTCACCCAATCACATTTATTCAGGTAAACATACTTATCATATCTTATTCACATAAAATCATATACTTCATATAACATATAGAAACACCTAGAACACTTTCACGTAGCTTATAGTCATGGGTCTTATCTCAAACATATCCTTGTTTTCACATATATTTCATATCATTTCTTATACCATCACATAATTCCTTTAACATACATAACATATAACATTATAATAGAAATACCTATAAGTCATATCATGTAACATAAACATAACATGTATAGGCTTACGGTTTTATCACCTATCATGTTATTTCACTTATACACTTTTATATCACATAAACTCATATATATAGATCATGTCACATAACTTATCTCATAACTTATTTGATATTCCTATATATTCTCATATTACCCTATATCAACCATACTTTGTTTATCTCACTTTTCATATCATTCATTCAAAAGCATGTTAACACATATAATCATGCATACATACAAATTATGTCATGCATATACATATAATCATATATTCATGCATTAAACATAGGAAATAGACTTGTCACAAGTCTTGTTTCCATATAGCACCATAAATGAATTAATATGCACTCACCTGGCCTCACTAGTCCATTTCAATCTCTTATCTTCCCTTTTTATCGATCTTACTTGTCAATGATTCTGGAACTCGTTTAGGCTCTGAATCTACATAATTATACATTTTAAAACAATTATTAGATACCTACACCTTTTAATTGGATACTAGAAACTTAAACGAACTTATTAAACCAATATTAACATTTTCCTTTAGGGGGGAATCGGTTCCCTCCTGTGGGGGTATCGGTTCCCCTCTGGCATTCTGGAATTCTGTCGTTTGAAGGGGTATCGGTTCCCCTTGAATGGGTACCGATTCCCCTTGCC